ATGGAGCTACAGCCAGCAGCCGGTTAGCCTAGCTTAGCATAAAGAATAGAAACCAGGGGGGAAACGCCTGGCTCTGTCAAATATAATAGCACCTCTGAAGCTTGCTAATTAACACGGTATATCTAGTTTGTTTAATCCCTATACAAACCAAAGTGTAAAAACGAAAAATAACGTGTTAATTAACGTGCTTGTAAGGTGCTCGTAGGCAGATTTTGTTACTATTTGTTTCCCCTGTACCCATTATTTCTGTTAAGGTAAACTAACATTATCCTAACTGTAGCTTCATATTTACCAGCCAAACGTGAGAGTGGTACTGATCCCCTTTAACTCTCGGCAAAAAAGCAAGTGTATTTTCCCAAAATGTGGAATAATTTGTTTAAAATACATATTTGCCTTGTATTTAATCATCACTTTAGAAACAGTGAATTGCAGCTTTGTTATACAACACCCAACTCAACACCCATAAACTGTACATAACTGTACTTCAGTAGCTCGACTAGCTAATGTTAGCATAACACTTCCTGCATTGTAATTTTTTGGTCATGCTCTACCTGTTTGACCAGCACAAAGGTGCTCATCCACAGAGGAAGTGATATTTCTAACAAAAGCAGAAAAGCAGAAACCCAAACATATTGAACTTAAAATCCAAGTAAGAAGAAACTAAAGAACATGCTGATTAGTCAGCTGAGTGCAAGTATCCTTAAAAGAAAATCAGCTTTCTTCATGACGAACATAAACTGTGATACTCCCTTCTACAGATAGATAGTGATGCAAAAGGCAACTATTATCTGTAATTGATGTTGTTTGTCTTTGAGCGGTACCTGCAGAGATGGTAACGCACAGCACCAGTGACCTTATCACCACAGTTTTTCATAAAAACAAGACAAATCAAACATAATTCCTCAGTAAACAGAGTCTTCAGTACTTTTCTGTCTATGAAGTTTGGTTGTTATCAGCTCCTTCTTTGTCTCTTCAGCCGTGGTGACAACTACTGTTCATGATAATTATCCTCCCACACTCAGCGTCAGGGGATTTTTCCCTCAAAAGAAGATACCTGGTACTCTTAGTGCAGAAGCTTTTATAAAGAGCGCATACAACATTATTGTGTTTGAATTGTCAATATAATGTGGAAAAGATGAACAAAAGAGGCATTTATTTTCCTGAAAATATTGTTAATTACTGCTGTAAAATATTCTTATCGACCATGCTGCCCTTTTATTTAATGGCAATTTCTGCCTGGGTGCTTTTAAGAGGGCAATGTACTGTATGAATATTAAGTACAGAGATGAGCAAATATCCAACTCAAAATCTCTGCAGTCTTGACACAGCAGGGGAACTCATATTTTTCTATTACATTTCTTCTGTAGTTATGCATATGACTAGTGTTTTGTGACAACTGGAACATTGTGTTTGTAGGACTTTCCATCTAGCGCCACCAGCAGGAAACAAACTCATCCCACTCATCCAGTAAAATTTCTACAGGATAGACAAAATTTTGTGCGTCATATACAGTGTACAGTGTTCTGTTTTTGTAGAGGACCTGCTCCCTCTGTCGATAAAAAACCCTCATACTAAGGCAACAAAAACACAACAATCCTTTTTTTCAGGTGATTA